CCCCCAACCTGGCCTTCCAGGCCCCCCCAACTTGTCTTCCTAGCCCCTCTAACCTGGCCCTCCAGACCCCCCAACCTGGCTCCCTGAGCACTCAGACTCAAACTGACCCCTTACGACCTCTCCTCTTTATCTAGTTCAGGCTCTGTCACAGTAGTCAAGGGTCCCATCTATCTTGGTAGAGCCAGTACTAAGCATGGCCCCTTGCACACAGTAGGTGCTTAATAAATGCATCTTGAATGAATGAATGGATGAGAGCAGTCAAAGCTGAAGAGTACCCTTAGAACAGAGAATGTTAGGGCTGGGAGGGGCCTTAGAGATCACCCCCCTCCCCCCATGCACCCCATCTCCATTTTACAGAGGCAAAAGCAGGGCTGTGTTTTCCCCTGGGTCCCAGGGGGTGACTGGGGTCTCTCCCTGGGCCCCTGGCAGGTGACGCAGCAATGGTGCCCTCAGCGCCCCATGAGATGGAGGGGGAGGAAGGAGGGGGAGCAGCTGCTCCAACCTTGGCCCATCGGCCAGGTCTGGAAAGCTCCAGCCTGACCTGGCCACCAGCTGCTCATTTCTGAGCCTCAGGCAGCAGTAAATCTTTAACCCCTCCTGACCCTTCCTGGGGGGTGGGGTGGGGGGCAGCCCAGCTGCCTTGGGGGGAAGGGCATTGAAGGCCAAGGCACCTGCTGTGGGTGGGGGGAGAGCTTGTGGATCTGGAGTCCGATTTCTGCCTGTCCTTCGGTGGCAGCCCCTCTGCCTCGAGGCCTCAGCCTTCTCATGGGTAAAGTAAGCAAGCAGGACGTGGGGGCCACTGGAAATCTAGACCATGTGATGACCGGTCACCGAGGCCTGGGGGCGTGCCCTTGGCCGGCCAAAGAGAGGCCCATCGTTGGCATGCGTGGCCTCCCTCTTCAGTTAGCTGAGGAAGGGCCCTGACCTTGGGGACCCCATCTTCTCTTCATCCTGGGGCCCTCAGGGGGCTCCTATAGAGGCCTCCTCAGACTGAGTTCTCCGAGTCTCATCGAGTGATTCCCTGGACATACAGGGGGTCAGCAAAGGGCCCAGCTGAAGCCTGGAGCTCATACCACAAGGCTGGGGGTCTGAGGACGCTGGCGTGCCTCTCACAGTGCAGACGGGCTCTCTGCATGGAGATACGCCCAGTAGGGGTGGCGGGGTTCTGCTGACTGCCCCAAACACCCTGGCAGAGGAGGAGTCATCATTTTAGATGGGGACATCGAGGCAAAAAGTCATTCAAAGTCACCTGGCTCGAAACTCCCAGACCTGGAACTAGAACCCAAGTCTTCACCGGAGATGACAGGACAACTGAATGGCACAGCACAGTGGGACCTCAGAGAGCAGTTAGTACAGTGCCCTTGTTTTACAGAGGGGGAAACTGAGGCCCAGAGAGGGGAAGTACCTTCACAGTATCCCAGGATCATAGATTTAGAACTGGAAGAGGCCCTAGAACATGGACCATAGAATGTCAGAGCTTCCCAGCTTAGAACCTTAGAGCCTTAGAACAGGGGATGTTAGAGCTGGGAGGAACTTTAGAACAGGGAGTGTCAGAGCTGGAAGGGGCCTTAGAACAGGGGATGTCAGAGCTGGGAGGAGCCTTAGAACAGGGAATGTCAGAGCTGGGAGGGGCCTTAGAACAGGGAACATCAAGGCTGGGAGGGGCCTTAGAACAGGGGATGTCAGAACTGGGAGGGGCCTTAGAACAAGGAGTGTCAGAGTTGGGAGGGGCCTTAGAACAGAGAATGTTAGGCTGGGAGGGCCTTAGAAAAGGGGATGTCAGAGCTGGGAGGGGCCTTAGAACAGGGAGTGTCAGAGTTGGGAGGGGCCTTAGAACTCCCAAGGAGTGTCAGAGTTGGGAGGGGCCTTAGAACAGGGAGTGTCAGAGCTGGGAGGGGCCTTAGAACAGGGACTGTCAGAATTGGGAGGGGCCTTAGAACAGGGGATGTCAGAGCTGGGAGGGGCCTTAGAACAGGGGATGTCAGAGCTGGGAGGGGCCTTAGAACAGGGGATGTCAGAACTGGGAGAGGCCTTAGAACAAGGAGTGTCAGAGTTGGGAGGGGCCTTAGAACAGAGAATGTTAGGCTGGGAGGGCCTTAGAAAAGGGGATGTCAGAGCTGGGAGGGGCCTTAGAACAGGGAGTGTCAGAGTTGGGAGGGGCCTTAGAACAGGGAGTGTCAGAACTGGGAGGGGCCTTAGAACAGGGGATGTCAGAGCTGGGAGGGGCCTTAGAACAGGGGATGTCAGAACTGGGAGGGGCCTTAGAATAGGGAGTGTCAGAGTTGGGAGGGGCCTTAGAACAGGGGATGTCACACCTGGGAGAGACTCAGATACTGTGCAGTCCATGCCTCCCATTCTACAGATTAGGAGGAATGAGGCCCAGAGAGGCCCGTGGTCTCTCCCAAGGCCACACAAATAGTAACCAGCTGAGCCGGGGCATGGACCCAGCCTTCTGACTCCACATCTGATGTTCCCAGGCCCTGGGCCAGTTGTGGGATGTGCCTGGGCTGGCTGTTTTCAGTGGTTGCCAGACCTTCTCTATCAAGGCTGAGTGACCCTGGGGGATGTGGAGGAGGTGTCATGGTCCTCAGGTCCACTGAGGAGTTCACCCTTGAGGACCCAGGTTCTTGGGCCTGTCCAGAGCGAAGGACAAGGGAGGCTAGCTGGTGCCCTTGGCTGGGGCCTCCTGAAGCTGCCTGCCCCAAGCAGGTGCTGCCTGGGGGTTGGTGGCTGGGGGACGAGGCTGCAGTTTGGCCCCAGAGCAGGGCTGGGTGGCAGTGGACCCTACCTCACACCTGCTCCCGCCCGGGGCAGAACCCATGACTCCTTTACTGTTTAATCAGGGGGGAGGGGAGAGGCGGGGCTGCCCGCTCCAGACGTGCTAAAACACTCTGCCTTCGCAGCTTGGCACAGAGGGAGGCAAATTCCACAGGGGCTCCAGAGCTGACCTAGTGAAACCACATCCTTGGCTGCAAGACCCCCAGGCCCCCCAATTCCATTCCTTGAAACAAAGGAAAGCCCTTCCTCTGCGCCCTTATTCTAGAGCAAGACTGAACATCCTAGAAATCCAGGTTCTAAGGTTCCAAGTCCCAGCTCTGCCCTTAATTCACTGTGAGGTTCCTCTGGGCCTCATCTTCTTCATCTGTAAAGTAGGGGTGATGCCACCTGATCTGTCAGACTCACGGTACTGTTATGAGGTTTAAAAGGACGGCGGATGCCCTGCACACATGGGGACGAGGCATCACCAGGCGTCACTGGCGCCTTGGCCTCCGGGCTCCCAAGTCCTGGCTGAGTCCCAGCTCGGTCCTTCCCCAGCTGCAGGGCCCGGGATACAGTCCTTCCTCCCTCAGAGCCCCCAGAGCAGGGGCTTGGTGAAGAATGCAGTCTGCCTCCACTGCTCTGACTCAGCAGCCCCTGGGGATGATGGGAGGAAGGGGATGGCGGTGCCCTTGGGCCAGGGCAGGGGCCTCCAGATCACTCACCAGCTTCCGCAGGGCTCCTTCGTCCAGCCCGGCCAGACCCTCGTCTGCCATCTTACAGCTTCTAAGCTCTGCTCACTCTCAGGGCCGATGGCAGGGGGCAGCTCCGGCCAGTGCCGAGGTCCGGCACTCGGGCCTCCTGGGAGATCCTGCAACAAAGCCCAATTGGGACCATGAGAAAGGGGGACGTGAGGCCGGGGCTGGGTGGCTGCCTGTCCGAGCACAGTCCCGTCCGTCCATCCGTCCGGCTCCAACAGCCTCTGCAAGGACCCTGGTCTCTCTCCTCCAGTCTCCACCAGGCTATACCCAGCGTGATATCATGGAAAGGAAGTAAGAACACCCGAATTCAAGTCCTTCTCTCTTCAATGCTAGAGAGCTAATTTTTCAGAGGCCTTGGATTTCTCATCTGCTCAATGGGGATGGTTGGGCTACCAGCCTCAAAGGCCTTGGTAAGGAACAAATGAGACAGTGTAGAACGTGCTCTGGAAACCTGAGGACGCTGTGCAACCTCTCATCACCATCGTGATCATCTCTGCCCACAGTGCATGGACTCAGGCTCTACCATGACCAGTCCTCATGCCTTTCCTCTTTCAGAGGGGGGCCATCCCAGGGACAGGATCCCCCATTCTGGACCTAACCAAGCACCTGACCAAGAAGGTGTTTCGTTACTCTTCCCTAAATTCACGAAGGAACTAGTGTCCCCAGCTGGCCGTCTGGAGTCAGAGCTCACAAAACGTTTTAGTTGGGAGGGAGCTTAGAACAGGGGATGTCAGAGCTGGGAGGCCCTTAGAACAGGGGATGTCAGAGCTGGGAGGGGCCTTAGAACAGGGGATGTCAGAGCTGGGAGGGGCCTTAGAACAGATGATGTCAGAGCTGGGAGGGGCCTTAGAACAG